GTTGATAACTGATCACTTCTGGGAAGTAAACACACTAAACAAGAATCCTTTCCTTCTCCGGACACTTCCAGGTAGTCGCTTGCTGAAACTTGACTGCGGAGTTCAAGTTTATCAAGCGTCTGTAAGCCAGACCTTCCCCTGCTAAGACAAGTGCGAGTGTGTCTTGCTTTTTCAGGATGAATGTAAGAACACTCTAACAATGTCGTCCAAACTTGCGAAAACTGTAAAAACTATGCCACTAGAAAATTGAGGAAACTCCTGGTCTGACAAGTGGATGTTCTCGAAAGAGCGCAGTAAAGTCAAAAGGTGTGTGACTCACGTTTGAGTAACCGATGACGCTCTATCATCTACAGGAGAACCGCTGCAAAGAAATAAGTACAAGAGGGAACTGAAAGACTAGATGGCCCAACCCCGGGCGATGATTGACGGCAGAGCCTGGAGAAAAACCAAGGCTGGAGGGATTGGGTCCGGGGTGGGCATCGGCACAAGTGCACACGGCGCGCAGACATACAGATGTGCTTTTGTTGAACGGGCTACCCGGGGAACGGGGGGATGTAGACAGCAGGGATAAACAAAATGTGTAATCTCAAATAAACCGGCCTTGGTATGTGTTCTTGGGAAAAGGTTTATGTAGCGAGCCAAAGTGTGTCATGTCCAATGTGAATGGTTGACTGGCCGGAACACACACGCATCTTCAAGGTGTGCTGAAATTCATGGAATGTGGAGTAGAGAGGTGATGGAAAGACTGATGAGGCAAAACGATACACGTAGAGATGTGGATGAGCTGAATGGTTGTGCCTCTGATGAAACACTGATGAAACATTGGCCACCAGGCGATAGTCACACACATGTACATAACTGAATATGTTGTAACTGCATTGTTTCAGAAAGACATGAAAGAGTTTGTTGTTGTTGTTGCTAGTAGGTTCTCTCAGAGACTGCAGTCCTGTCTATGGTGTCAACTTGTCGTGGATTCAAATATCTCTACTCCTTTAGCCAGACAGGGCAACCATTTGTAGGTAACGGTCTCTTCTTGTTTCCATCTCTAGTGCGACTTTCAACTCAACTTATTGAGCCTGTCCTCTGTGAATTGCCGTCAGTGTCTGCAGGTGCATGTCTCGCGTCAGTGTCTGCAGGTGCATGTCTTGCGTCAGTGTCTGTAGGTGCATGTCTCGTCCTAGGTCCCAGACCTGAAGTTACAAGATCAGTGGAATGTCCTTACATGTGAGGTCAGCAGCGGACACAACCTGGTGATTTCCTGATGTTTGCACAAGTAACAGTGACCAGAGTTGCTGCGTAGATTGCTGGCTTCGACATCTCTGGGTGACTTACGATATGTGATGGCTGACAATTAGATGCATCAACAGAAAATCAAAAGCTTTTAGTTTGCCAAGTAGAATCAACAACATCATAGATATACGGTAGACCGTCGTTAACACAAACCCATGTAAGAAGAACTCTCGGTTAACATAAACACAATGCTGATGCCACCATGGAGGTAATATTATGAGTACCCAGTTAGAATAAATGATTTATACATGTATACATACTTATATATGCGTGCGTGTGTGTGTATGTGTATATGTGTGTATGTGTGTGTATGTGTGTGTATGTGTGTATGTATGTGTGTATATGTGTGTATGTGTATGTGTGTATATGTGTGTATGTGTGTATGTGTGTGTATGTGTGTATGTGTGTATATGTGTGTATGTGTATGTGTGTATAGTGTGTGTATGTATGTGTATGTGTAGGTGTGTGTATGTATGTGTATGTGTAGGTGTGTGTATGTATGTGTGTGTATGTGTCTGTTTATGTATGTGTATGTATGTGTGTGTATGTGTGTGTGTGTATATGTGTGTGTATATGTGTATGTGTGTATCAACAACTGCACTTACTCCTTATCGACCCCTCACTCAAATAATTTTTAATTTTGTTACAGATCAAAATAGTATTTAATAATGCAAAACTCACGATAAAACTTTGAGGAAGAAAAACTTGTCACAAAGTGCTACTGCAAATGTGAAAACATCACGGAAGTGCGAAAGAGATTTTTGCTACAGTAAAGTGAAGTATCATTGCTCTCATTAAAGATACGTTTGAATTAAATCAAACTGTTCATGCCCTCCATTGGCAACTTTCTATATGACCTCAAATATCCAACAGTTCGTTAAAAAAAGGCCAACTGGCAAAAAGAGCTTAGTCGATTTCAAAGAAAATCTATACGACAATCGGGTCGTGAGATACACATTTCAAAATAGAGTTTGCATGTGTTAATTAAAGAGACCATTCCTTATGAAGAAGACCCTGAGAGGAGAATTGATTTGATCAACAGTACCGGACACCAGCTGGTTTATGTTTGTGGGGATACTTCAGAGATCAAGTTGACGCCAGAGGCAATGTTGTCGCACCCATTGGTTAGAGTTATCATCTTTGCCTGAAACATAGTGGTAAGGATTGTGAATAATTACGAACACACACAAGGATGTGTCCACGATTTAGGAAAAAGACTTTAAAAAAAACACACACACACAAAACAATTTGTTAATAAATATCTTAATCACTGTTGAAAGTGAGTATAATCAGTGGCCAGTTAACGTGTGACTACATTTGTTGGGAACACACTGCATAAAAAAAATGTGATGATATAACTATGCTTCACTGAAGTGTGGTTAAATAGATGATACAAAGGGTGCACACCGAGCCAGGAGAAGAAGGCAACAAAGAAATATTGATGAGCCTGGTGGGGCTGTAGGAATCATTACTGAATGAGATCAAGAGCAGAGAACCAGCATGCGGTGACTATACATAGAGTTTCCGCCCGTGATTCAATAATTGGCAGTCAGTGGGCTGATCAATTACCATTGTCTACGTGAGAAAGTGTGAAGTAAAGCTTTTCTTCTTATAGCTCATGCCATGTGGCATTGGTAGTCATGTCAATCCACAACCTTCTGTCTCCTGTTTTATAGTCCTTGCCGTGTGGCGGTTGTAGTTATGTCAATCCACAACCTTCTGTCTCGTCTTCAATCATTGTTGTCTTCAATCATTGTCGTCTTCAATCATTGTCGTCTTCAATCATTGTCGTCTTCAATTATTGCCGTCTTCAATCATTGTCGTCTTCAGTCTATATCAGTATTTAGATTATTTGATTCAGGGATGTCTTCAAACCAAACCATTCTTCAATCCACGACGCTAGCTATCCACGTTCAACTTCATTCCACACTTGTCTTTGCTCTTGTTCTTTTTTAATTCATGACCATCTCTAATCCAAGATTGTTTATGTGTCTTCAGTCAATTATTGTCTCCAATCCATGACTATTATCAATCGAGTGTCTTCTCCGTGCTATTGTTGTTTCCAGCCATGGTTCATTTATTCGACTTTGAGGTTTCTACCCATGGTACATTGCAATCAATTTATGTGTTCAGTGCGTAGTCACCTTAAATCTACCCCCCTATACAATAAATATTTGCCTTTAGGCCTTGCTCGTCCTCAGTCCATTGTCATCGTCAATCCATTGTCATTCTCAATCCTTTGTCATTCTCAATCCATTGTCATCGTCAGTCCATTGTCATCGTCAATCCCTTGTCGTCCTCAATCAACTGTCGTCCTCAATCCCCTGTCGTCCTCAATTTTCCTCAATCCACGGTGTTTTCCCAATGATGATATCCTGGGACCTGATTCCCTCTGTGGCCTTGAGTCTAGAATCTTCCCTCCGTGACCGTCATCAGCCTGAGACTGTCTTTAATCCATGACTGTATTCACTCTCTGTTATTTTTGCGGACATGTTCCCATTTCACGAGCAAATCTAAAGCGTCCGCAATCTGGGAAATTCTGAGAATTTCCCGAGATTTTGCAAGTCAAGACAAAATTAACAGTCTGTCAGCGTCATCTTGTTGAAACCACGTGGCAATTGCATAAAACTGTGTTTTCTAACTTTACAAGAGCTGAATCAATTACAAATTATATCAATGAGACGCTACAAGAGTTTGGACTTGAGCATAAGTTTAAACTATTCGCGTGAGGGCGGGGAGGGGGAATTGTAATACTTTGTTTGGTGGTGTTAGGATCTGAAGAAAATGATTAAGAAGCCAGCAGTAACTGGGATCGGATGTCCGTCATATATCCGAGACAGCTGAATTTTTCTTGTTCTCATTCACTGGCTGTCAACTCTGGCGGGAAACTCTGCTTTGCTGTCAGCTTCTGGACTATTCTTCTAGAAGCTGAGTGTTGCCTGTACATCCTCTTACAGATCTGACTTATTTCTATACTAACGGTTGGTTCCTTGCCTCCCAGGCAGATGCACTCCAACTTCGAAGGAAAGCCATAATTAGTCAAACTCTGACGATATACTTGGTAGGGAGGCAGTTTGTCTAGGTTCTTTCGTCTTATCCTATCCCGAATGACGTCACAGGACAGTCCAGCATTTTACAAGTTTTTAGGACTGGGTTTTCAGGCTTCTAGTGCATTTAACGAACCCAAAACATTTGGAACTGGCCCTAACCCTAACCCACCTACATCCCACGAGAGAGTGCAGCCTAGGTCCTATGACTGCATGCAGCCCATCTACCACCCCTTAAAATATTAGACTGTCCCATGACCTGTAGATTTCTCCTGCTTGGGGTAGGATATTAAGAAAACACCATTTCTATTCTTGTTTTCCCACAAAAGCGTGCCTGGAACCAGACGGAGAGCACTACGTTCAGGAAGTGATCAAGGTGTTTTATGATCATATCAGTGAAAAAACGAAGGGACACTCATCCATTGATTGGTGTAGTGAATGTTCTTTTATCAGTGCTAGCCACTTTAGAAGGGAGGGAACAGTTTTTTGAATGTAGGAGACAGATCAAAGATTTAGAAAGTGATGGCAATGAAGACACAGTTAAAGTGTTATATAATAAAGTGCAAGCAATATGTGACCAATGCCTGGAATATGGCAAGATTTGTCTCCACACACTGAGTGAATGTTCATCTGTCAAGTGGCTTGATTTCTACGATATCTGGG